TCCCTGAGAGATGCCGATAGATTTATAATGTAAGAAGTATTTAAGAATCTGTTTTCCGTAATTCACTTGTGCTAAAAACCTATTACAGACAGTCCTGATGAACATTAGACTGAACAGATTTATTACCAGCTGTGAATTGGTGGTAACATATCACGACCAAGACTCTCTTATGACTGGATTTCATAATGTTTAATTTCCATAAGTACATTTCAATTAAACAATACTGCAGGTGGGAACGGTGCTTGTACAAATGTTTAAAACCACATGTATAAGCAATGGTATTAAATTAGTTCTTAAGAAGTTATTACAATTAATTGAAATTGAACAACAAACAAAAAGAAAAAAACGAAAACATATTTAGTTTCATACGGCCTGAAAGTCGAGTCGCTTTTTTTAATAATCAATAAAAAAAATATAAATTCTTAGATATTTGATTAAAACGGGTGAGTATTATGTACAAAAGAAATTATGACACAAAGACCATGAACGAAAAGGAAAAGTATTTCTACCACAGGTGTTCCAGAAGCAGAAACGTTCATCACATCATCGACGGCATTTTGTTATCTTGATTAAACAATGTTGCATTATTACAAATCCACCAAAGTTAGAGACGCATGACTTTACACACAAGCCTTTTCCATTTTGTACTTGTACATCTGTCAATATTTAAATTCATATCAGGATGAAATACAAAGGCAATAAGAAAGATTTATCGGCTCTCAAAATTAGTTCACTCTTGAGAATTTATTGATTCTGGATGTAAATCACCAATCACAGCGGGAAACGTAGTAATATTCGATAGTGTGAACTATTTAATTGTTGAAATACTAGAGCATTTTGCTCGTTTTCTCAAAAAAAGACAAACATTTTACGACTGAAGTGCATATTCAGAGAAATTAGTGTTTCGTGTAACCTACTTGCTTCAGTTTTATCTCATAATATCTTAATATTATGTCTATTTCACATCACTGTTTCCTTTGATTAATGATACATTTTGAACGAAATGTTCACGTAAATGGTGAAACAGACATTCCTGCAGTTACACGGGGATGTTTTCTGCTGTGACAAAGCATATACATTCCGGACATTTTTTTTTAGAACCTGAAACCGATGGTGCGATTCCATTAATGTCCAATTAATTGAACAGTATGGAAACATCAGAGCCATTTCCTATTGAAACCATCCCACTTTATTGATGTCGTAATGCATTCGCGAACATTTGAGAGAAGAAGTGATTCTAGTAGCAATAGTAGTACATTGAAGGCACGGGACAGCTTTTAAATGCCCACAACAGAATTGGTATCAGTTTATCTTCAGACAATTTAAACAAGCTGTTTCAAAGGAGAGGAAACGAGTTAACCAGGAGCAAACAAGACTAGAGGTTCGGCATGAGAAATAAATGAAGATCAAATCTGCTGTAACTCATGAGAAAAGAAAAAAGACTCTACAAAGTACTTCAAGAAGAAACAAACGCATAAGAGTGGTTTTATCTTTTACCGGGAGATACCAAAATAAAAAAATCTAAAGAATCGTAGAAAAAGAAGCATAAAAATCCCGTACTTAGAGGTACCTGTACCTACATACTGTTTGTGTAATGTGATCGAGTTGAGTGTCATCCTGGAGCTTTTGGCAGTACATTTCAGTGAGGTAGTACTATAAGTCGGTCTCGCGAGTAAAAATGTAGTCTTTAACAAGCATATCGCAATGTCCTACCAACACATACACTCATTTCAGATACATTGTAAGGACATCCATTAATTATCATGGCTGTTGTTAGGACGTCGAACGATATTGTAATGTTAGTTCTTTTATAGTACAGACTATAGGTATTTTTTACAAGCGAAAGCGTCCAACTGTTCATGATTCATGTCATGGTCAAGGGTACTCTTGAATAGATGCCATGTTGCCAAACAGACTTTCAGTTGTCACTGTTGTTATTAAGCCATAAACAAAATATGGTGTCAGAAGTAACGTACTCGAAAGAACCTGAACCCAACAAAGTTGTAAGTAGACCTACATAAAACAGAACAATTTGTGGTTTCACTACGATTTCGTCACTTGTGAACTCTTACTCGTTCCTCGCCAAACACGTGTTTGATTTCTCGCTGACATGGCCAGTTATCAGTTCATACCGCCGGAATCGTTTAACTTTACGGAACCTGAGGGATGGACACGCTGGATAAAACGCTTTGAGAGATTCCGTGTAGCCTCAGCCTTGATAGATAAAGACGAGGTTCAACAAATAAACACTCTCATATACAGTCCAGGTCAGGAAGCCGAGGATGTGTTATCGTCTTTCAATCTGTCTGCCGACGATGGCAAGAAATACGAGGTGGTCAAGAGAAAATTTGACAACTATTTCATAGTCCGACGGAACATTATATTCGAAAGAGCTAAATTCAATCAACGAAAGCAGGGGGAAATGGAAGGAGTTGACACATTTATAACTGATTTACACGCCCTGTCTGAACACTGTGGGTATGGCGACCTAAGAGATGAAATGATCAGGGACAGACTTGTAGTTGGTTTAAAGAACATAAAATTGTCTGAGAAATTACAATTAGATCCGGATCTAACGAAGGAGAAAACCATAAAGCAAGCAAGGCAAAATGAGGCCGTGCACAAACAACAAGCAGTTGTCAGAAATGAACCATTACAAGAGCCAGCGAACGTAAATAGAGTTAATGTTGGTGGACAGAAATCAGACAGACGATCGGACAGAAGACGCCCTCGTAGAATGTCGAACGCCAATCAAATGCCCACACCATGTCAACGATGCGGAGAGAAACCTGGACACACGAGACAGGATTGTCCAGCACGAAACTCAAAATGTCATGGATGTAACAGAGTAGGTCACTGGCAAAACAAGTGTCGATCGACGGTCCGAAACCCGGGGAGATCACAAATCCGCGAGATACGAGAAACCGAATATCCTGACGATGAATATGCATCTGGATACTCTGATGATGACTATGCCTTTCTCGGATCGGTGGACACCGGAAATTCGCATACTAGCCCATGGTTCAAAATAGACACTGGTGCTGATGTGACTGTGATCCCCGAATCACTATATAATAAGATAGGAACTGACCCCCTGAGGAAAGTCGACAAAATACTGATAGGCCCAAACCAAAATGAACTCCGCGTATGTGGAAAATTTCATGGGAAACTGACAGGGAAAACGTCATCGTCAACACAGGAGATCAACGTTGCAAAGGACTTAATACAGCTCCTCTTAGGCCGACCAGCTATAGAAACAATGGGATTGGTGAAGGTAGTTGGACATGTTGTAAAAGCGCACCCTAAACTCTTCAATGGATTAGGAAAGTTGGACAACGAGTACTCGATTTCGCTAAAAACCCGACTGTACTCCATATTCGCTATCTACTCCGAGGAGAATCCCAGTACCGTACCTCAAGAAGGTCAAGGACAAGTTGAAGCGTATGGAACATTTGGGAGTTATATCTAAAGTAGAGAAACCCAGTGATTGGTGCGCCGGCATGGTCGTTGTCCCCAAACCAAGAGGGAAAATACGTATTTGTACTGACTACACCAAATTGAATGAAGCCGTAAAACGCGAGATTCATCAGATGCCCGCGGTTGATGAAACCTTAAGCCAGCTGTCGGGAGCAAAAATCTTCACAAAACTGGATGCCAACTCAGGATTCTAGCAGATCCTGCTGACAGAGGAGTCGTCGTTACTTACCACTTTCATCACGCCCTTTGGACGATTTCGCTACCACCGACTTCCGTTTGGAATCTTGTCAGCTCCGGAGATTTTCCAGCGGCGGATGAGTATGATTCTAGAGGGTCTCGACGGTGTCATTTGTCAAATGGATGATACACTTGTATTCGGTGCCAATCAGGAGGAGCATGATGCCCGACTGAAGGCTGTTCTAGAATGTCTAGAAAAAGTATGTCTCACCCTCAACAAGGAAAAATGCGAGTTCTCCCAGACCACTGTTACATTCTTGGGACATGTCATAGACGAGAATGGAATTCGACCCGATCCCGACAGGATACAAGCGGTTGTGGACATGAAGTCGCCTGGAAACATCAGCGAGTAAAGGAGGTTTTTAGGGATGGTCAACCAACTCGGGAAGTTCTCATCGAAAATTGCTGACCTGACTAAACCTATGAGAGACTTGCTCAGCTCAAAGATTGAGTGGATATGGGGGATACAACAAGAGCAGGCTTTCAACAACGTCAAGTCCGAATTAAGTTCTGCACCGATACTGGCCTTGTACGACCCGAGTGGCGATACCAAACTTTCTGCCGACGCGTCGTCTTATGGATTGGGAGCCGTCTTGCTCCAAAAACAAAGAAATTCGGAGGGGAGAGCAGTCGCGTTCGCGTCACGATCAATGACCGAGACCGAACAAAGGTACGCGCAAGTAGAAAAAGAGGCACTCGCTACTACATGGGCATGTGAAAAGTTCACCGGGCTATCGTTCGAAATTGAGACTGACCACAAAGCCCTGGTCGCATTATTAGGTTACAAAGCCCTAAATGAGCTTCCGCCAAGAATCCAACGATTCAGAATGAGGCTAATGAACTATATGTACAATATATCATATACCCCCGGAACTGGATCGTCTTTCCGTATCGCCGATACACTTTCGAGGGCTCCACTGCCAACAAAGGCGGAAAAAAGGTACAGGAACTTCAGGAGGAAGTTCGCGCCCATGTCAGTCAAGTGATTGCGCAACTACCAGCAACGTCTGGAAGATTGAGTCAAATACAGGATCAACAATAGAAGGATCCGACTTGCAGCGAAATTGTCTTCATGGGTGGCCAGATAGGAGAACCCTGTCAAAGTCTGCAAATCTATTTTGGCCAATGGCAAGTGAACTAACTGTTCAACAAGGCCTTCTCATGCGCAATCCTCGCCTAGTGATTCCAACGGTATTAAGGAGGGAAATACTGTCCCAAATACACGAAGGTCATCAGGGGATGTAAAATGTCGTCGCCGAGCTTCAGAATCAGTATGGTGGCCTAGAATGAGCAAGGATATTGGGGATATCGTTAAAGACTGTCTGCAATGTGCTAAACACAGAACGGACAAAGCGGAACCCATGGTTTCATCAGTTACACCGGAACGCCCGTGGAAGGAGGTCGGAACTGATCTATTCTACTGGAAAGGCAATAACTATGTCTTGGTGGTTGATTACTTTTCGCGCTACATTGAAATTAGCAAACTCATGGGCACTACGTCACACATCGTGGTTGATCACCTGAAATCCATATTCGCTAGACATGGAATACCAGAAATTGTGCGGTCGGATAATGGCCCCCAATATTGCTCTGATGTATTTCGTCAGTTCTCTGCGGAGTACGGATTTGAACACGTGACAAGTAGCCCTCGATACGCCCAGAGCAACGGAGAGGCGGAAAGGGCAGTGCAAACTGTCAAGAGACTGTTGGCCGAATCGAAAGACCCGTATCTTGCATTGCTCTCGTATAGGACCACACCGCTCGAAACAGGACAATGTCCTGCCGAACTATTGATGGAAAGGAAGTTACGTTCAACACTAGTGACACACCCATCGCTCTATAAACTCCAATGGAGAAGTGATACGTTCCGGAAACGTGATACAAGTGAGAAGCAAATTCAGAAAAGAAACTATGACAAACGTCACAGAGCACATGCTCAACAGGAGCTTAAGCCTGGCGACAACGTCTGGGTTAAAGGTACAAAAGTACCTGGAGAGGTGAAGTCAAACCATCCAACACCCAGGTCCTACATCGTAAAAACACGCCAGGGAGAAATAAGGAGGAATCGCAGATTCTTGGTAAAAACGCATAGCCCCATAACGATTGAACTAATGGAAAGTGCACATGATGAAGAGTCACCGACAACCGACTATGGAAGCCATGAGTTGCCTCGAGACGACGCTTCCGATTATCCAGCAGTCACACGTACACGATCTGGACGAATATCCAAACCACCCGATAGACTGGATTTATAAACTGTGTTTCAAAATGTGTCAGGTTCCAGACAGTGTTTACTAGTAAATGAGTTAGGTTCAAGACTGCGCTACAATTTGCTAGGTCCAAGACTGTGGTAAAACAATTTGGAAGATTCTGTTCTCCAGTGAAAAGTTACATTATCGTTTATTTTGATAAGGCATTATGTGTGTATAAGTAAACACTAAGCCTTCATTATTATAATTTAGAATGCACTTAATTCAGTTTTCAAATACCCAACAAAGGGGGATGTAATGTTAGTACTTTTATAGTACAGACTATTGGTATTGTTTACAAGCGTAAGCGTCTAACTGTTCATGATTCATGTCATGGTCAAGGGTACTCTTGAATAGATGCGCCATGTTGCCAAACAGACTTCAGTTGTTACTGTTGTTATTAAGCCATAAACATAATAGATATTAAACAAATCGTTGATATAAGCGTTTACTCTTCCCGGACACTAAGTCTTCTACTTAATACACTTTTAAATGGTACGCGTGCAATTATACTTTTTGATTCATACTTTATCCTCGTTTAATCGATTTTGAGTTTTGATCATGTTGATATATAGGTATTTTCATTCTTATAATTTGAGAAAGAAAAAAAACTATTGGTATTTTTAGAAGCATTGGTAATATTGGAGTTTTGACATTCCTGTTTCGTTTGCTTCATTACGACAGTAACAAGAAAAACCCCTCAGACATATAAACATATTTGCGATATGACTTTCCATATCTATTTCAATAAAACAGCGAACTTAAAGCATAGTTATGCATCTGTGATTTTGTTTATTTTAAATGAAATCTATGCTTTATGTTCCAAGATAAAATAAGAAAATATGATATCCTAGGTTAACTCATGTTTGTTTTGTCAGTTTATAGTGTTACTACACAACTGAATTCTCCTAGCCTCGACACGGAATAGAAAAAATCTTATATGAGAGCATATATACCGATATCAACAAACGATTTGCTTCGGGAACAAATCCAGGAAGAGTATAAATTTAGGGTCTCTGGAATTATACCCGTCTTCTGATTCATCTTAATGTGTGTTTTCTCTCGCCTTCTTAGATCTTTGTTAATCAAATATCCTCAATATTTTTATCTACGACTGGAAACGATAATTTTCAATAAAACTCTTATAAAAACAGAATAACAGTGATCGATATTCAGTTTCTATAACTGGCGACAATAGACACCAAAGAAAACAAACGCCGATTACTCTGCGTCTAAGAAAAGCTTTGCAGCGTACTATTGGTCTTATGCCATTCTAGTGATTCTTTACAGTGACAAAGTGTAACGTGTTCACGCAGTACAAAAACAGAACGCTAGGGCCATGTTAATGTAATTGCTGGCACGTGGTATATTGGTGATGTTTGTTGTAATTATTCGTGTTTTGAACGAGAAAATTGCATGTGCGACTATAATATATTAAAAGCGAAATGGAAATGATGTAAATGTGCATGGTTAACTATGTCTGACGAACGATAGGCTTCACGTGGTAGATCACATTCAAATAAGATTCCTGGATGGTCTACCAGTGTAAAAGTAACAAGATGTTCAGGTGCATGTTACAAGAAAATCCTGAACTCCTATACACAACTGACACCATATGTCCAAGGCATCTGTATATATTTCTCTGTATGTATCTTTAATAAAAAAAAAATGATACGTTTTCATAGCTATAAGTGGATGAATACATTACCTACTTACTCCTACTTACGTACAAGTTGGCCTCTATTAATGTTACACATAAACTATATAACAGTATGAAATATGTATGTAAAATAGATACGCTGTTCACGCTAAATGAATAGTAACACAAAAACCTAAGTTAACAAGTAGCTTCGTCGCAGCTTTTATACTTTTCCATTGACACATTATTTTCAAACAAATATCACCACAAAACGAATGTCACGAAAATAATACATTCAACACAATAATGCTACCTATCCAAGTTTAGGATTTTTTAGGACAAAATGTTCCTTTATCAAATGTTATGAATAACATAATAACGTCATGTTACGCTAAATATGTATAATGGTGAATAAATGTCTTTGAGTATTTTTTTTTTTTTTTTTGGGGGGGGGGGGGGGGGGGGGGGGGTTGGTTGGTTAGGTTATTGTTATAGTGTTCACATCGTCTAAACTATTTCTCCAACAAAATTATCGATATCAAACATATTTTCATAAGGATTTAACGATTTAACTGAGATCCAGGAACACCCAAAACAATGCAATAGTTGTAGGGTGTATTACGCTTGACCCTAGACAGGTTTGGTTTATAGTCGCTTTACGCCCTATACACAGTCAGGTCATTGAATGGCGTGCATGGTTTGATTGGTGGAGGAAAGCCGGAGATTCCGGAGAAAGATCACCGACCTATGGCCAGTTCCTAGCGACTGCCCTACGTAGGCCTCCAACACGCGACCCAGAGGTGAAGGACTAGTGATAAAGACGCTTAGAGGCCATAACCTAGAAATGTAATGCGCCTTATTTCATTGATTATTCTATCTAGGTTTTACGGTTCACACAGCGAATGAACATTAAAAATTAAATTGTTGCTAACAATGAAAAACAGTCGATTTAACTCCATGGAATCGTCTATGTTGTTAACGAGGAATCACGTGATTATGTACGTCATAAGACATTACAAAAATCATAGAAATTAAACGATAATGACATCTGAACAAACCTAATTTTGAATTAAGATTCCTCTTGTTCTGTCTTATAACCAGATAGCAATGTCGGTCAATACTAACACAATTGGCAACAACAGACCGACTACGGCTGTGATAATGCAATAAAACTGGAACAAAAGATGTTCCAGTTTATAGACCGAGCTGTTGAAGACAAAGGCGGTTTCTGATGTTTTTTATATAGGATATTTTGCTTGTATCAGATGGTATTAATTGTGTAACAACGTCCCAGTACTCTAATTTAGGTGGCATTGATAAGGTATACATCTGCATCAAGGAACGACACCAAAGCCCATACATAAAAATGTCTGTCCTGTCTGTAGCGTTGATGTTGTTTCATCGTTACTTTCCACACTGATGACTGAAAATTGCAGTTTCATTTCATCAATGTTTTACAAATAATTAGATCGGAATAAAAAATGTTTCCTTTAATCTGGAATTCCTAGTTTGATCGTGTTCACTCCTAGGAAACGTTATACTATATACACGGTGAAGTTGTATACGTAATACGTTTATACTCTCGAGACAGATATGATTATAAAAGAAAAATCCTACGTTATTTTCGACAGAAACTAAAAGGAAAGAAACATAACGTTTCGCTTGACATTTAGTTTTGATTATATTACTGATCATCAAACACCTGCTCCTCATTAGTTTAGTGACAAAACCTTCTGTTATTTAAATCAGTTCTTTAATGTTGAAACAATAAATCTTTACTCATTACTAATAACAGTATTTTAAGTTAGTTATTAAGTACTGAAATAAAAGATGTGTTGATTCAAGGAAGTGATAGGGCGGTCGCGTTTCAGTATGGTATGTATGGTCCAATTCTATGACAAGAGAAAGTATCCGGTCGTCTGTCCTATTGAGCTTGGTATAACTTATTTCCAAAACGTTGTGACAGAAAGATACATAGTTGATAAAAACAACAAAACATATCAACGTGCATACTATGATGATACTACAAACAACAAGAAACTACCAACATAACAACACAATCATAATCAAAACTCGAATTTTATAAAACAAGGGCAAAATATGAAACTTCTTAAAAATTACAAAGAGAACAGGGCTAAGCGTTATGAAAGAGTAAGCGTCCTCTGCCTCATCGATGACACCCGCCATGTAAATCTTGTTCTAATATGAGAACTATGTATACAACAACGGTACCAACAGGTAAACTAACCAGCATCAAACACGTCCAGCTTCGTATCCCACAAACAAATATAAACCTGAGATCAATATAACGACCGTGACCTTCTCCATAATTACCATCAACCTGTACTCTTTGAAACCTTGATAAATAATATATGTAAATCAAATACCAGGAATGTCAAGAACACTTTGATATTCCGAACATAGTCAAAACAAGTCTTACACGAGACTCTAGAAATTTTGACACTATTTTTGAAATATGATTTTTTCACTGCGCGGATGGTTGATCTTATCTTTACAAACATGACTTAATTTGAAATTTACTTAATAAGCTCATTATTCATCAATAAAGTCGTAATTTGTAATCCCTACTTCGCATCAGATCCAATTCGGCGTCAGTAGTTTAATTCATCATTTTGCATTACTGCAACTTATACTAAATTTACGTTGATGTATGTTATTTTATGTGTGCAATTTGCCTAATCCTTTGAGTAAAACTCTCTCAATATTGTCGCAATACTAGAGATAGTTTAGACACAAATCAGGCAGCAAATGACCTTTTGTCCGACATATTCTGTTATCGCTAACGTAATGGCTTTCATCTTTCCTGGATTCCACCGTCTTGGCAACAGTTAGGTTCATGATGTAGACTATCTGTAGATATAAAACCAAGCAAGGACTCCAAATGTTCTAATGGTAATGTTTCTTCGTCTACTTTGGGATATAAAATAAATGAATATAAATATGCTTACCCAACTATAAACCTAATTTAGACTCTTTATGATTTATACAACATTTTATATTATTTCCCCATTCGGGTGTAGATTGCTATTGGCAAATGTATTGAGACCCCAAAAGCCTTGTTATTTACTTCGCTTTCTCCCGCTCTTGATTATCCCGTTTTAAGATAAAACTTTACTAAATGGAGTTTCATGCTAGTTTTCATGCAATTTCACATTTAAGAAAAGGAGGAAGTAGTGTAAGCACCCATGAATATAACCCTGTTGTGTCATCAAGTCTGCGCAGCTTCTTTAGTTCTAAAACCGATTAACGGGTTAGCGCATTATTATGGTTTTTTGAACTCTTCAGTTATCGGCACCGAATCCAACGTTATACCAAACGGAATTTTTTAGTTACAAATTGGGACATT